TTCAGCTACTGAGACCGTACGTATTATATTACCACGTCTGCTACGGCTGACCACGGTACCCTCTGGATCACCACATTATTCAGTGCCATTTCTCCCATACTCCAAAGGCTCTCCGCGCACTTTTCATTGAGATAGGGAGGGGTTCTTGCCCAACATCACTGTAAGAGGAATATGTTTAGTTCTCCGAGTGTCCGTCGGTACCTTCTTTTATCTCACGTCTACGTAATTTCAATGGGCTAGAATGACCATAATCATAATAGCAACGTCCTCCCCATTTGAGACTCATTATTAGCCCATATGGCCGGCGTGTGTGTATGTAACATTTTCAATTCGATGCTGTGTGTGCGTGTGTGTTTACTCTGTCCCTGTGCTCGAGCTAATGGACCATCTGGGATTTCTCAGAACAGTGGAGGTACATTGCATATGGTTCACCGAGCTGCCATTCATTCTAATTGTCCCTTTTCTCGGATCCACTTAGGGGAAAATTGCTTGAACTTCGGAGATTGCAACATCGACTGGATAAACAAGTAGGGGGGGCATTTAAAATCCCGTCTAAAATGCAAATGCTACAATAGTTGCTTCCGATCGGGAAAGAATTGTGAGTAGTATATAGAGTGGAACACTTCTTACCTCAGACTCGTTACTGCCGCCGGACCGACTCCTTTATTTTACGTAAACTAGAATGCAGGTAAATAAACTCAAAGGAGGAGCTCCCGTCGGCCCTACGCACCTCGGCTTTCTGTTGGTAGCGCAGCGCGGTTGCCACAATGAGGAAAAATTGTTTTACTCAGTCGATTTGTGGGCGTATCGCTGACAAATTGTTCATCCACCTTTTCACGCTGTTGTCGAGGCAAAATTGCCCCATCAGACGTAAACAACACTTGCTGTGTGCTACTTGTTACTCCTATCTAGCTAAAAAAAGAAAACGAGGATTAGCTTTATGGAATTTTAGTGGGGCGAAAGCGAAGCATCAACTAAAGAGAAGGAATTAAGTTTGGGTAAATGTTTCGTTGGTGGTTCTTGTGTGGCACAAAGTGCCAATCGTTCCGTTATTTATACATTCAGGAATCCCTCATCTATCTCCCTCTCAATCGAAGATGAAGGGAAGCTGAACTGTGGAATAACGGCCGTCAAAGCCCTGAAAGTTGGAGCTGTCAAAAGTTCTATCGAGAACCTAGTCCTGTTTTCCGAGACCGTATTTAAAAATTTAAAATATTTTTTCTAAGATGGTCTTGGTCGCGAATCAAATTAGCAGGAATTTGTCAAGCCATAAACTCCTAATCCTTTTTCCCCACCGCTTGCATTGCATAATTAGGTGTCCCTAAGCCATGGGGATATCCCGAGTGCCCTCCTCTCCCTTTCTACGCATAGTCTAAACCATAAAAGTACCAAAAAGAAGTTTAAGAGGTTTAGATGCACTGGAGTGGAATAAATTTAGGGATGTTTATTTACATTAATAAGAATACGTCCGAGAAACGTCATACTTCTGATACGCATTGATTAAAAGGTCAAGTCTTCACTCTATCCGCTGGTAATTCATTTCAAATCAGTGTTGCATTGCGAGATTTCCCCAACATTCTTGGTGAATCAAAATTCCCACATCAGGTTTCGACACGAAGTCAATCCGATTATTAGGAATTTCAGCTGCCACTTTCGGCTGAAGTTTCATAGTGTGGAGGTGTTGTCAATTTCCAGCCTACACTCGTTTGTGCCTTGACGAAGAGGGCCATTGTAGACGGCAGCTGTATTTCCAATGAAAAAAAGCATGGAAATTCTGGCAGGTTTGTCTTCTAATAAGAAAGAGTGCACATTTGTATTCGAGAGCTTAAATAGCTTTACATGGAAGATATGATTAGAAAATGCATTGAACCGGTTTTACTTAGTACCAGTACCACTGAGGGAGGAGTAGGGCAAAGCGATTAATCAAGCGGGTTGGTAAAACTGATTCAAGACGATCTTATACCGCCTCGAATTTGCTAATGTCAATCTTCCTGAAGCATCAGCATAATCTCCACCTCACTGTCACAAGGCAATACCGGTATTTCCCTACCTGACAACGTTGAGTGTCAGTTCATCAGAGGTTAAGGAAAAAATTTGGACAAAACAGATTGGTATTTCAACCCAAATGGTTTCTACCAGTCTATTTTGCATCGTCAGTTCTGACTTGTTTATTACCCACTCAATACAATTTTTTGAATGACGCCACCTGTCAGGGAATCTTGAAAATCAGCTCCTTGGTTTAAGCGAGTGTCCGAATAAACGTCTCGAGGCAAGTATTGCTAAAAAAGAACAATTTTTTCTGCCAATAAAAGGAAGGCCCTTAAACCCATCATCAGAATTGTAAGAGAGCTTTCAGGGTCTCCCAAAACTGGATGTAAGGCGTGAAGATGTAGCGGTTTATGCCTCAAGTAAAGATAAAGGCTTCAGGGAAAATGCTGCATTATAGTCAGGTTACAATTTGCATATGACAATGCAGACTTAAAGACTCTCTTCCTTGACTGCGAGGAAAAGAAAGTGGACTGTGAATTGATGCCTAATAGCTACTTTTGGGGAGCAGTTGCTCTATAATCTGAAGTGTCTCACTCGCCCGATCGGGATACCTAAACAAAAACGCAGTCTTTGTCTTCCTTAAGTTATTGTTTTGAGCATCCATTGTTATTACCCTCGCACACAAATTGCTCAATGAGTACCACTAAATAGCGGCAGCTCATTAGTAAATCCTCCTTTCCCTATTATTATTTCCCACAAAAAAGCGAAAAACAATGTTTGTGAGTCGGCCGTTGGTAGGCTCAAATTGTCGTGTGGGAGTTCCCACAGTCAACCTGCAATGTATGTCTATTATGGAGGTCATTGGTACTGTCCATCCTTCCGTCCGTCCACTTTTGGAGTGCCTGCAAACGTTGCACAGCTCATCTTTGGTAACACCCGCAACTCAACCAACTTTTCCATTTTATCCTATTAATACGTTTCCACTAAAAGCGAACTGACAGTCGGGGTTTATCCCAATGCTTCTAGCACGTGTGTCGTCGCCTACTTTCGGAGGAACCACTGCTCTGCTACTACAGTTGAACCCGCGTATCGCAAGTGGCATTTACTGACCTCTAACAGCGGTATTTATAGGCAACCTGATAGACTGAAGTCGTCTCTATGTTTACTTCAATTGAACCTTTGGTCAAAAGTACCTATCAGAGAATACAGTATTCAATTCCATGAAATCGCTTTTGGCCTAAGATTTGAATAGTTAGAAGGGAATCTAATCATACCTCCGCCCTTGAGGTGAATGAATGTGAGAAAGTCATTTGATTGTAGAAAAAGAAAGAACTTTGAACTCGCATTCAATAGCTTTTTATCCTCCTCGTACCCGCTCTCGTGTGTTGCAGTCGCTGGCAGCAACTCACTTCAAATACGGCCGTTCGCATTTGTTTTTGCCCAATACGTGCTCAAAAATGTGTCCGTGCATTGTGGGAAATGAAGTATGCGATTGTTTTAAATAACAAGACTTTCACAATCGTAATAAGACTTTATGACTACGCATTAAAGCACAAGTTAGATCTAAGATACCACTCTTGCTTGAAGCATGATGAGGCCGGGAAACAACTTCGAAATAGCTAAGGCAACAGGAAGTGAGTATGCTACGCGCCAACACGAGTCAGAAATGCTCGTTTCCATACCGCCTGAAGAAATTTTGGGCGAACTGAGTAAAGATTTCTGGCCTTCAGAAACCACATTTTCTTTAGCTTCTGGTCAAACAGGAAAAAGTGCAGTCCTTTTACTAAGATAAAAAACCGACACTCAAGGATACTCATCTATCATCTGCTGATTGAGTATCCGCCAGAACGGAAGCGCTTTATTTCATAATGAGCATTGTATTGTACTGAAAGATGGGAGGACGCACCTGACCGCTGTTCAACAATCAAAACCAGTTATTTCCTTTAGACTTATGAATCCTACATGCCAATTGTACCGTACTAAGCTTAACCACACGATTTAATGCAACTAGCTATCAGAAAAGTGGTGAAGACCACACGTCACACATTTGTGACGCCAGGCTCAGATAAGAAAATTGAAGTGTCACACACGTGACGGTGGTAACAAATGAGTTAAAACACTTGTGCAGTAATTGTATGCTTTAGCTTTTTCCATAATCCATTTATATTTTCTTCTTGATCCGGTAAAATACAAATTAATTGAAAATGTACACAACAAAACAATAAGCCATACACACCGGAAGTAGGCAAGAGAAGCAAAGAAAATTGCAAAAAAAAGTAGTACATAAAATAAAAGCGCCGGTTCGCTTGTTAACGCTCCGTCGGCCATGACGAACAAGTGGAAGATAGCGGTGGGAGGGAGATCTCTGAAACAAAGCATAACACAGCGGAGCCGTCAGTTTTCGGTTGGTGAAAACTTTTAGCATCGGCTACCGAACCATGGTCACAAAGATGGGGCATCAAATTCTAGCTAACAGAAGCATCGCTTGCTTTAATCTCGCCTTCTGCCACTCCACTCTTGCTAATCACTGCGTATAGGTAGCTGGAGTGAGTAAGCCCCCTCCATCCAAGAGGGATCAGTGCTGTCCGGGTCAGATATCCCCTCAGTTGCAAGCAAATTCGATGACTAGCGCTGTTGGTTGATTCAAGGGTGCTTTTCCTTACAGCACGACGATTCAAAGGAGGAGAAGGGGGGCTATGTACTACTTTAGCTACTCGTTTAACAATTTGTTTTGGTTTCAAAGCCACTTAAGGCTCCGGCGATTGTACTTTTACTGGGTGGCGTAGCCTCTGGGCCATGTCAGTAGTCTCCTAGCTCCTCTGTACGTTGGCAATACTTATTCTGCCACAGCATTATGACACCTTCTGACGCCAGAAAAGACTCGGGGAATTGCATAAGTACACCCCTTGAAGAGGTTTTTCCTGTGTGATGTCGGACTGCTGAATATTTGGTAGTATTCAACAAACACATGCACCGCCTTCGCCAATTATGGGGTATACATCCACAGTGCTACACCTAATACCAAAGTGCAGCATGACAAAACGGTAACTTTTGACTTAGCCGCAGTGATGCGCACAATTTGGACATAAACAGTCAAATGTGCGTGTTACAGCACAGTGGCGAATACTCTAATGTCAATTCTAACTCAAACTTCAAATCTCACAGATGAAGGGACAGATTTTAGCAGGAGTCCAAAGGTGCCCTGCATGCAAACGTGATGGCTCAATAAAGTGGTTGGTTGAGAAGACGTTTGTGAAACTGTAACAATTACCCACGATGGAAGCTTTAACCAAAAATTAGTTGAAAAAGCCGTATAATCGTTTGTGAAACAAGGAATCATGTGCTTGGCAGAAGCGGGGTTTGGATTATCTGGACATATCCTAGTTTTCCCTATGGAGACACCTAAAACCCTGGAGAAGGGTGACAAAGGGGACATTTGGGGGGCCGAACGGGCTTGTGGATGCGGACAGCAGCCTCAGTCCCTGGGTTTTCGCACTCAAACAGCATCACGACTGGTGATCCAAAACTCAAAAAGTGTTGAATATGAATAGGCCATGACGACTTATCAGCGAGATTGCAAATGAAAATGCAGTGGAAGAGAGTAATGAGAAATTAATTTATCAGTTTGCATAATGTCGAGTTCCTGCGCCGAACCCCAACTCGGTTATACGACAAAAAAACAAGATTATATCTTACTCACCAGAAATGCCATCAAATAGAAACCAAATTTTCACGGAAATCAGAATTTAGGGGAAAAATGCCCGGTTCGTCGAGATTTTACTTACTATCTACCCTCAAATTCCGACTAACCAGTTGGTCAAGTTCCGATGGGCACTCCCTAAGACCTTCGAACATCGAGTAAACTACTTAAATTACAATTCAATGACAACTCAAGTGGGAGTTTTACGTCCTTGCGATAGGAGGTAGGGCAGGAGGTCTCCACCAAATTCCCCAATTTTGCGTCGCGTGATAAACTGTCTCCACTTTTCAAAGCTCGCGCAACATGAACTTCCAGATTTATTGGGATCTCTTTTAAAAACCGGGAGAGAGAGAGTAAGACTTCTTTCCGCGCTCTGATGAAACGTGTCACCACTTCCTGTTGGGTTTGGGAATGCATTTCGCTTGCCAAGAAGTCATAAAGTACTCATCGAGGATTTTAGCCACCTCCGAGGAGGCGGGGGGCAGTGTGGAGATAAGTGCTTTAAATTACCTTCTTCCCATCCCCATCCTGAGGTTGGGGAGTTAGACGTAAGGTTTTTATTTTTAACTGGAAAACAAAAGTAATTTTCGCAAAGCCTACTTATGCTCCATAGAGGTTTGGTCTACCGATCCTTTTTTTATCACGGTGATTGGTAATTATCCTAATTACAAAAACCAACTACGCACCATGATTTTTAACATTTCCCACCCGATGTTATTCTCTAAGAAAATCGTGAAACATGGACTAGGAAGCTATTTTTAAAAATTGTTTTAAAGAAAGTAATTGAATGTGAAACATAAATTCCACCCATCTTGAGCTAAGTTTAATTACCCCAAACCGTTATCTGCATGAATGCTTTCAATTTCCACTTGTAATTTGTTTACCATGTCAGGCATCATTCCAAAAAGGAAACAGTTTTAAAAAAATCTAGTTTAGATTATCCTAACTATGTTACAATGGAATACGGAGAGGCGTCAGAGAGCAGGCAGAAACCTACCAATTTTGTGGTATGGCTTCGGGGTGGAATTAGTGGATTTGAAGGTGTTAAGAGCGATGTGGATCGGTAGACTGGTTGGGAATGCTCTGTCCAACGCTCCTCACGGAGCCTCTGGGATTTGTGTGACCGAAATCGGCTCCATCGCCTCCATCTGGTGCTACAGCCAGGCTTGACGAAGAGTGCGGACGATGCAATGGCCACCTGCTGGTGGAGCTGGCACTCGTAACCATCAGGGTGGGTGGCTTGGCCTGCGGCATCTGGATAGCGCTGGTGCTTTCAACTGTTTCCTTAGAGGTAGAGGAAAAAATTAATGACATTTCCTTATAGTTTGATAATAGATACTGTGAAATCCCCTACAGAAATAACTCAATTTACAGGGGGGACATTATCCTCATTATCGTCCCAAAAGCCGTGACATTTCCTATCTTCTTAATTCAGCGGTCCTGGCATGTTTGGTAATAATGACTCACATCCGAGAAAGGCACTAAGACTGAAAAAGAAGTCTTTTGTTGCTGAAAATCCTTGTAAAATAGCACATAAACTGGACATTGCAATAACGCATACTTGCATCCACACCTCCCTGTGCAATCAAACACCATCCAGGGAGCGAGATGTAAGTGCAGGACGCATAAAAAGCGCCTATCATTAATCACCCGATTCCAATTTAATTTTCTTTTCAAATCAAAACACTTTTATTGTCCAGTTCTTACATTCTTTGTCGCTTTTCCGTTGATACTGACCAGTTGGAAACATTCCAATCCCCGCAACCGACCGAATGGGCTGTCCTCCTCATTCGCAATGGCCATTTTCGGTATCACCGCCGCACACTCCAACAGGGAGTCCAGCTCCGCCGCCTCTCCCTCCACATCGTCCTCTTCATCTAAATCCTCCGTCTCCTCGTACACCGAAGTTGTAGTATCTGTCACTGCGGTGAAGAAGTCTACGGCTGACTCGCGCATCTCCAAGTAGTCTCGTCCCCGTCGTGACTCCACGTCCCACCAAGAAGCAAGATTAAAATCATCCCAGTCCCGCAGTTGATGCCGTGACGATTCGCCCTCCAACGGTCGGTCAAGAGACGTCTCCAACGAGTGCAACATCTGGGGCTCATGACGCAACGAAAAGTGACGACGAATGGGCGCTGCATGCGTAGCTGCAAACTCCAGAGTGTGGAACTGCTGTTGCAATGGGTTGATGGGACTGGTTGCGGATTTCAGGGGCGGTGCGAGATGTGTCGGTGGGAAGGCAGTTAACTCAGCAATATATCCAGCCAATATGGGATGCTCTCGATTTATTTTGCGCTCCTCTAGGATGCTGGGAGAAAAGGTAAGTTTGTCCATTACAGCGTTTCTTGGCAGGATGATGATAATCTAAGTACAAGCAAAGTACATCGCACGGGTGCTTGCAAAGGTATTGCCGAACAGATCAAGCGCACTTTAATTTGGAGTGCTCATTCAGTCTTAATCTCACAGAATCTGCTACTAAAAAGACTACTTCCCACAATTATTTCGAGATGAAGAGCATCGAATACGATTTTTTTTTGCGTTACGCATGATTTTAGCTTAATTATTTATACCGAAGAACAAAAAAAGGGCAGCCGATTCGGATACGTAACTGTGATTAATAAAAAAGGTTATTGGTTGAGATTTGTGCTGGATAAAAGAAAGTTGATTCAGACTTGCGAAAGTAAAATGGCCTATTAAATGCAGTAATCCCTTAAGGCTCATCTCCTGTGGTCCAGTGTCTGAATTTTGGTTGTCCCCGCCACCTCGATTGCAGAGAGATTGGATGCAAGTGGTGTTAGGGCCACAGCTGAGGGGTAGGCAAAATAAGACCACTTAAGCACCACCACCGCCGGCATAAGCGGTTACAGACTGGTTATCCTCATCTGGGTTCTACCACGGTTCAGAGGTGAACTGTCTATGAGACAGATTGGTTTTTTGATTAACACAACGGGATTTAGTGATCATTTTGACAATGAAATATGGGTTTACATTGCTACGATCACCAAAGAAGAGTAAACTAGGGAAATTTTCTTCCTCTGACGGCTTATCCTTCGGCCAGTGATCAAGTGGAAAGACAATGCCGAAAGTAAAAGCTGGAATTTTGTTGCTTATTAGCATGGCCTTCATTACATCCTCATTTACTCATCCCTCCCATTTCTGTGTACCTCAATGCACAATAACAGTAAAAACTGTTGGTCCACGCTAACAGTTGCTCTAAAAATTAAATGATGAAAATTCGGTTCACTTCTTGTTCATTTTACCAACATTTTAGAGTGAGGTTATGAAGGAGTAATATCCCTGGAAATCGGAAGGATTACAACTTCACCGAATAGGGGATACAGGGTAACTTTATCTGGCTCTTATAAATCATTACGAGGAAGCGGAAAAGGAACTACTAGGGCAGAGGAACTACCGTGAGTGCATGTTCAAAACAATCTCCACCGGATGTATTAGCCGGCCAATATTCTCAATCACACTGCTGAATGCCAGCTCGCGTTGGACTTGGGTAAATTTATTAAGTCTCCACTTTCGGGTCATCGTGCGGATCACACACGCCCACAAGGCGTCTCTGCAACGACGCTCAAATGGTGCTCGTTTAACCTCCGAAGCAGGCGGAGGCGATGCAGTGAGTGGTAATGTCCCCACGGCAGGAATGCCCTCCACTTCCTCCGCCTTCAGCAGCGTTCCGATTCCCCCAATGTTTTGGGCACTGTCACCAGCGGAGGTGGGAAACGTCGCCCCCGGAGTTTTTAATAACTTTGCTGGAGCTCTGCAGCCGTTCGTAGAAGCAGGGACGTGTGCACGACAACCGCTTCCTGCGTCAAATTTGTCTGGGATTCTAAAAAAGTTGAAAAAGAATAAACGCACTGTCAGCTACTTTAATGTAAAATGAATTTCTTCGCTAAAATCCGTTTAAAAGATATAAACTGGGCTTAAAACAGGACGTTTGCAATAAATTTCACTAGTTTAAGCTGTCCTCTCTAATCCCGTTTATGTATTATATAAGTTTTAAGCTTAATGAGAGGAAATTTGTCAGTTTGTAAGAAACGGTCTGGAGGAAAGATATTAACAGCTAAAGCAACACTAGTGGTGGACGCGAACCATCTGGAACAGTTCGTTACGGGGCTGTCTACAGTAACTGTACGGCGTCAAGTAAACACGCGATACCTCCTCTACTTCTTAGCTTGCTGGATATGGGGGGAGCACTAAAGTGAAAACAAAGTAGTGAGAATAGACGCGAAACTCTAGCCCCACGGAACTGTCAACTCCCGTCCCCTATTTAATGACTCTGCTTTTATGTCAGTGTTCTTACGACTAACAGAGAATACACGCGGTGGCCAGTGCATTTTCCCGCCCACCAATACAGCTCTCACATAGGACGAAACTCTGGATTCAGGAGAATTGCCAAGAGGGATTAATGACGCTGCAGTTGGATACCTTCTCAGATGCACGCAAATTAGATGACTGGCGCGGTTAGTTGACCCGTGGGTGTTTTTGTTACACCACCGACTGCATTGTAATGGTTGACGCGGGAGGTTGACCCATTGGAGCGTCGGAGACAACACTCAAAAGATGAGACGAGCTCTATAACACGTTCGTTGTTTGTTTAACTCACGGTCATAGTAAAGAGGCCACTTGGGTGTGAGGCCATTGTATCCTTACCGAGTGGGATGACCTCCGGGCCATGCCAGTGGCCACCCAGCCCTTCCGTCTGTCGTCAATATTATGTCTTCTTTCGTCTTGAGGTAAGTCTAGGGGCGCTACAAGCCAGTGAGACTTTTCATGAAATTTGTTTACATTTTATTTTTCACCCTCTCGAAAAGTCGTTAGGCACTACTCCTTGCCAATCGTGAGAAGAGAAACTACCGTAGTGTCATGCAATTGCCAAAGTGATCTTGTGAGTTTCAGACTCGAAAATGTAAGAGAAGTTGAGGAGAATGGGTAAGAGGATGGGGTAGTCGGTGGGGTGCGCAGTGAGCATACGGCAATGGCATGAATAAATTACCCATTTCAAGCATGGAAAGCGACTAAAGCAAGAAATAAGCGTAGAATTTCCTCCGGAAAATACTTGAAAATTGAAATTTACTCGTCAACTATTCGCAATTTGAGTCATTTCAGGTGTAATCTCGTTTCATAAAAGAAGTTAGAGTGAAGAAACGGCAGCACTCGTGATTGATCCTTGACAGTGAAACTAAGCAGGATCACCTAATTTTAACGGCTACTGCTGTTTTGCCAAGCTGAGATAGTTTTCATCGGGGTCTAGTGGCAGCCCCTATATTACCTATGAAAAACATTTCCAAATAAATGTAAATCTTGTATTTAGAAATAAACTCGATTTGCGATCCTGCAGGAACTGCAGATTCGCCTGACCTCACCAATGTGCCCTTGAACAAGATTGCCACATTGACACAGTCGTTTGAAGTCCCCTGATGCACAAAAAAATCCACCGCGAGGCATAAAAGGACACCCAAGGGAACCGTTCTCCTGCCTACTTTTTAAGATTGAAAAGCGAAATAAGTAGACACGGATTACCATGAGCGGGAAAGCTTGAAGAGAACAAAAAATCATCGGAGATCGAGATAAGGTTTTAAATACATTAATTCATTCTACCACTAAAAGAAATTCACTTCAGTTAGAAAAAAAAAGACCAATCCTAGATTTACTCGTCTTTCGTCGAATACCTTGAAGCATTCGTCGGACTTTTGGTAAAAGATTCTTTCAGTTTCTTGCCATATATTGATGCAACCATCTATACGCAATACTTTGATTGCTTGTTTAACCCTCGGTCTTGGTAACAGGCCACTTAGGACTTCACCATTGTACCCTTTTCGGGCGGCCTCGCCTCCGGGCCATGCCAGTAGGCCCCAAGTCCTACCATTGGTCGAAAATACATATCCCGGCCGAGTGCCATGTCTTCTCTCGTCTTCGGAGAGGTCGATTTTCATTTCTCACAGCCAATGCATGTAAAACATATTATTGCAATAAAGAAAAGCTAATTGGACTCAGCTGCCTATGTATTTGCACAGGGACATGCGCAAATGAATTCAAAAGTGCGCACAATAGCAATTTTTACTCTTACCTTCTTATCTCTTAGTTCAGTAACCAAGCGAAATCGTAAACTATTAATTTGCTATCAAACTCAAAAAGTGCCAGGTATACGTCAGTTAATCCAAAATCGTCGTCGTTGTCAGACCCACCAGATTAGCTACGTGGAACTACTTTTCGCCCCATTGTCTCTCTTTTTTGTTTTGTTAGCATCAAGCCATCTTCACACCTAAGACAGGCGTAGAATAGTTGTGAAAAGCAGTGACATAAATGATGGCGCCTAGAAAAATGACGATTCGACGAAGGCCTCCCAGCAGCTCACGTGTCAACAGTGGAACGCCTGCTTCACTGCACTGAGGCAATAAATGTCGCAGTAAAAGGCCACAATCAACTGCATTTATATGATAGGAAAACAACTCGGGTTTTTTATTTCCACGTGATTAGACAAGAAGTAGGTAAAGGTTAAAATTGGGACAAAACCAATCAGTTATAAATGCCACGAAAAAAATCGCATCGAAATAGGCATTTAAATCGCCGACAAATATGCGCTAACTACATTTGTATCTTGAAAACTGGAACATCGAATGCAGTATTTTTGCAGTGGCTGTATGCCATCGAAGCACAGTATATTTCTACAAGGAGTTTTCAAGTATAGAAAAAGGGTGCCAACCTGTTATTCCTAGCCGCAGCAGCCTCCTGTAGCGCCTTTGGTACGAAAGCGGAGAGAGGGAAGAGCGGAAGTTCAATGTGAATGAAAACCATAGATTCAATTGATATACTGTCCTCATTCCCTGGTTCCGTCTCTGTCTCTAACCCATTCGCCTCTTGGGCCGTTTCATCATGTTTTCCTTTGGCCAGGACCACTGTCTGGCGCTTCGAGTTGCCCGACGAGCTTTCCACCTCACTGTCATCTAAGTCCACATCGATTGACGGCTGCTCCTTAAGGTTATAACCACACTGATGATGATCAGACGCACTATTTATCGGTGGGTAGGAGCGGCATTTGCGACCTTCATCAACCCCTTCTCTTGACTTTTTTACAAAAGAGGAGGGAAGAGAACGGCGCACCACGTCGGCTGTTGGCTTTCCATGTTTTCCAGACCTCAGAGTGGCAACTTTTTCAGCAGTTTCTGCAGTACAGGCTCCGGTGGTCGTTGGAGGTCGACGTGGTATGAACGGAGTCGGTGGTACAACTTGGGCGAATCTGCTGACAATGCCTTTTTGGCGGACCTGCAGAAATGACAATATGTGTCGCTCTATCAACACAACTTTTTCATCGGTTAATTAATCCTACATTTCTGCCTGTGTCAGTTCAAAAATTTATTCAAAAAAGAGTTCTAACAGTGCTATTTTTGTGTTGAGGAATTCATCTGAAAAAAATGCATTGCCCACCGGCCTAATTTGCGCCAGAGATTTCCCAGTGGAATATAGACGCAACATGCATTAGCCAAATTTGATGGGTCTACCAGCCACCTCTCTTGAAATCGAAATGGTGAGGTTTTATGACACTTAGACGATCTTCTTCCACGGCCCCACCCCGACTTTTAATCTATAGCCCCAATGATGCAATTGGTGTTTCATCAGTGAAATCTAATAAGACCAACTCTTTGTGACTTCATATTATTAATACTAGCATTACAAAAGACTTTAATGAAGTTATTTTAGCAGAAAGTACCCGACCAAAATCAGGATTTACAAGAGCAACTCAAGTCAGACCGGGATTTGAATTTTTTACCGCCAAAAAGAAGTGCTACTGTGGTGGTTATACATGCAGAAGTAAGGTGTGTCCTATCAGTAATATCTAGTGCCCATATCGTGAGTCAGTCCAGGCCCCTACTTAGCAAGATGACAGACAACGGCAGTTGCGAGTACGTGGACGAAGGTCTAAAACGCCACAGTGTCTACTCACACAGAACGGGCTACGCGCACAGTTCGGTGCGGTGACGGTAGCATGCCACTTGAATGGCGTAAAAGATTCAAAGACCGTGGCGGTTCTAGGGATACACCCTTGGAAGTCAGTCCTGTGAAAATTAAGCCAGCTCGTGGAACTCCAGGGTCTATATTCTTCACCGACAAATAACCTATCATGGAATGGAGAGAAGGGTGAATTCCTCGGTAAGAATTATGGAAAATTTCCGGAATTCTGGAAAGTCAGTAAGCACCAAATACTTAGGCAGATTGTTCTGGGATAATTTAACCGAGTCAGCTCAAACTCCTCTCGTGAGCGAGCATGTTTGGCTTCGTCATGCAGTTTATTGGAAAGCTTTTCAATCAAATCAACATAGCAGGAGGATAAAAGGAGATATCGTTGTTCATCGAAAATTGCAACCATTTGGTTTGTCTGTGAAGCCTCACTGGCCTAGAGGAGGTTTGAGTCTCTCCAAAGCACTGGGGTGATCCACTTCAAAAAGAGTCAAGTAAGTTATCTCACGTCAAAGGAACTCACATGCAATGGAAATACCGTGTCCGTCTCTTTTAGGCTCGTTAGGAATTGTTCACCCAGAACATTTTTCACTAGCCTCATGCAAAGTCCTAAAAATAGACGAACTTTTGAGTCTAATTTAGAGCATTATGGATGATCATTTTGGGAAAAATAAACAAACAACAATTAGGAACATGTGCCTTGTCACCCCCGATCTGCTGTTGAGGATGTGTGCACTAACTCCACTGGATAGCAAAATGCTACTCCTACTTTAGGTTTTGACAACCTCAATGCCCATCTACACCCTTTCTGAAGAAAGCATACGTAATCGTAAAATGTGAGTCTTCCAGACAAAGACACCATAAAGTTGTCCGAAACCAAAATACACAATGCGGAAACAGGGGACTTTGTCTTGATAATCGTGAATACTTTCAAATTTTGATGATTCTGCAAGCAAACGCGATTTTCAAACAGTTGAGGTGGGGCGTGGTCTTGTCCATAAACGGCGTGCCACCTTACCAAAGGGTGTGTATGGATCTTCTGATTCCCTTTTGTCGGAATGCACTATATCCAACGGTTAGGAAAAACTGTAAAAAAGGGCGAGGTAAAGCAGAGCTTATTGTGATTAAATGAGTGCTATTGCTCCGCTGACACTGGCTAAAGAGGTGGACTTGAAATCCACTAAAGCAATGGAAAGGCGCGAAAGTTGATTTGGCACGGATGAATGCCCTACTTTGCTAGGTTTAGCAAATGACCCTCAAAATATCAGTAGTTTTGTGTAGTTAATTGTATTTGCTAGCCCACACTTTGCCCAAGTGGCAAAAGAGGTGTGGAATAAAACCTAAATTATTCATATCTTCATTAAGAGATAGATTACCTCGAAGTAAAAGCTCCATCAGACCAGAGTTAGCAGCTCCTTCTTTTGCTTTTTTTAAGCCACGGTAAGCGGGAAAAGCTTAGTGTAATATCGCCGAGAAATAAATCATGCTCTTGGATGATAAGAGGATTTAGAGGGGTATTTGCACCAAAATCCAGGCAAAGATGGACGCTCTCTACTGTTTAGCATTTCCTTTTCTCAAACTTATTATAAAAAGTCATGAAAGTTGATAAGATGTTGGTGAAATGACAAACCGGAAAAGTCGTCTGTTCGTAGACCCCGACACGACCACCATTCTTCAGGATTGCGATTTAGCAATTGCAATCTGGGGAGAATTCGAGTTTCATAAAACCTCTGCGTTTGCGCGGCTCCAACAATGGTAAATTTCTGAATTATAAAATCAAATCTGATGGGTTAAAGTTTCACCATATACCAAAAACTTAATGCCCGTGGTCTGACTTTCGGTTGAAGTTCCACTGATCAAATTTGAAAGTAGCAATGAAATATTTAACTTATAAGATAAAAAATCAAAGCAGGCGTGTCCTATTTTTTCCAGTATTTTTAGCAGTTTCTGTGGAGCTGGATTAGGCAGTTAATTTAACGGTTTCATTCTACAGTATTTTAGGAGTTAAGGTGCATCTGTTCTTGAATGAATGATGGTGGCGTAGGCATTCCTCCGGCCACAAAATCCTCCGATCATTTGTACAGTTAAGCACAGGATTGATGTAACCATCAACAGGTCCGTTTACTCGATCCCATGGCCTAGGTTTAAATACCCCAATTTCACATCGCTTAGATCCGTTTACTTGTGAATTTGCAAGTAGACGCCCAAAAACTAACCTGAAGATCGCTGGCAGAGAGCTTGATTCGATTGGCTTGGCATCGAGGAAAATTGGGTTGAAGTGCTTCCCTTCGTCTAAATACAAAATATTTTGTCAGAAGGAGGACAATCTTTCTGCAAATAACCAGTAACTGCTAAAAACCCTCTTTACAGCAATCTAGAGCCCCCTAAATAAACCAAACCATTTAAGTGGGGCACAATTTTACGCCATTTCTGTAGTCATCCATCCATCCATCCATCTCGCTTTCCAAACGTAGTCATCTAATAACCCCACGCGTCTGGCTGATAGAATGTAACATCAAAGGCTTTTATTTAGGATAACTTGGTGGCTGTTACAGCGTTACGTGGACAGCAGGCCTTTGTGACCACATTCGTCTGTCATCTATACCAATCATTGCCAAAAACAGACATTCTTAGACTGTCCATAACACAATAAGCCCTAATTCACTCTCTAAGCTGACGGTGTCAGCCAAGGTACTGGGGTTTTTAATGAGGCAAGACACCGGGAGAGCGGGAGCCACTACCGACGCCAGCCTTAATTAAAAGTTGGACTCCCTACTTGAAGTGGGTAACAAATGCGTCGCTAGGTTCAGGGCTGTAGTTATTCTCAAGCCTAATTTAATTTAGGAACGAAGTTAGACGAAAAAAAAGTGCTTTAAGGATATCACGTAAATTGTGCTAAAAACGCAAAAAAAATGCGCCAAAGGTATGCTAATAAAGTGTCTTAGAACGGGTAAAATAGGGAACTTTCTGGATGTAGGCAGTAGACAAAAGGCAAGGTAATAAATATCTCCCAGGCTTTGATTGTGAGGCGGCTTGTAGTAGACAATTTTGCGATTGTTTACCAATTCTGTGAGGACTGACTCATGCACAATTGGCCACCTCATAATGTCGGACGTTATCCGCCCACAGCAGGCGTGGGTGGACACATTGGTGACACAAACCCGCCATTTGTAAAGTAAAAAAGGAATGCACTTGTAACGTGTTATAAACGCGTGTAAGAAGCGGAACTTTTAGCGCACTACATTAATTAATCCTTCCTTTGAATTGCCAAAGCATTACATTTAGTCAATGAACATAAATCGTTGAATGGAGGAGTTGGTCTGTGAAGCACTGTTTGTGCATCCACGACCTTTAAATTTCCAAAACAAAGTTCCAATTCAAATATAGTTCTTACGCCTTCGATAAGACTAGGTTAAGTGAAATCGCCCTCGTCTCACACTTGTCCATCCTACCGTCACAAGAAGGCACATCCAAACAATCAACTAGGGCATGAATAAACTCACTGCTTCACCCTCAGATGAATATCCTCGATCCAGGCCTTGGTTTGCCCACGCAACTGGCAAAAAATTCCTTTTTCCACAGGAGACAGCGAAAGCCACGCCAGACTCTCCGCCAGTGAGCTAAAAAGGATTGCATACACGCCTCATTCACGGTCTTCTGGCTGACAAAGTCCCCTTCTCGAGGATCGGGGTTTTAAAAACTGCAATTACGAACAGTAGCTGTTGTATACCCCTAATGGAGACTAGACCAGACTTGAAAATGCATAGTCCTGTGATTTGTTACACAAGAAATTCATCTCAATAATAAGCTAAACGGAAGTAGTGCTATACAGCGCTTTAAAGCTGCGCTGCATCTCGTATTTTCATAAACCATTAAATTCTCACAGAAATGTGGAAAGTGGCTTTAAAATAATTGCCTTTTTTTACCACTTTTGGGATGTGTGCATTTATGTAGGGGTCTGAAATAAGGGGCACGAACTGCTGAATGTGATTGGTTCAGCGACCCCCTCCCTGAACTTGAAGCCGAAGGAGAGCCTATCTAGTAGGAGGGGCTAAAAGGCGCCCGTGAACCTTATAAAGAATACATGCAATCTTCCCTGCCCGATCGCTTCGAGACCGTAGGACTTCCATGAAATATTCATGGACAAGAGGCTTGATAAAACCGCGATACAGAAGTACCAAACAACCACATGTTCATCAAAGAAACTCCATGCGATATTCAGGTAAGAATAAGTGGCGATTTTTAATGTTAATATGATAGAAAGAACACGACTTCTGGAGGATAAGTCAGGGGAGACCCGAGCAAATATTTGCCCGCCTAATTCAACTGTATATTACAATCCCCAACCATCCGACACACCCCAATCTTTAGTTATAATGGGATATGAAAGCACAATACTGCTATTAGCCTGAGTCAACCCCTAAGGCTGTGAAAATGAAATAAGATTTATGCCCTTGAAGACCCAAATGGTTCAGTGGGTAGGTACAGCCTATAATTTATGACTCTCCGCCCCTTCTCTATCTCCCGTTTGCCGTTGCCATCATCATTACAAACAATCAGGGTTCGAGGGAGGTACCAAAGCGGGTACGGTAAAATTTAGACTTTGATCTTACCTCTCCCTCTAGTCGTGAGACACTCCCACGAACAAGTCCCCACATGCGCTTACACACACGTATGAGTATTATGTCCCCTCATAAAAGAGGGAATGGGGAAGTGGGGAGAGGGGGCTGGAGGGAAGGCTAAGAAAAGGAACCAAGAGGAGACACCGTGGTACATAGATACTTGTTTTGATAAAAGCGTTGTTTACTCTAATCAGTCTGTGATTACACAGGTTTCCTTTATGTCTACACACATGTATACAGGATAAACGATGCGATGTTGCCCTGGAGGTTTGACGAAAAAACATCCCAGCACTGGCGGTAGGTCAGTTATGACAATATCATGGCCACAGCTGCCTACACCACACAGAGGACAGCTGTCGTACAAAGGTGGCATTTCAGGGGTTGTTAAACTAAAAATCCCATCATCATTATCGTGAAATTAGTAGGTTTTGACTGTTTCGGGAGTGATGCAGCCTAAATCAAGAGTTCTAAGCAAAAAAAAACTGTTGGTAAAGCTGAAAGACTTCGGGTGGGACAGAGGCGGTACTTTCAACTCGTACTTTTCCTTTTCTGACAATAAATATTCCGTCAAATCCCATGAAAGTGAGGAGTACTTAAAATGCACGAAACAAAAGCGCCACTAACACTTTAATTCCCGAGAGTGCAGTTTCATTTTCCTGTCTACATCAAGTAATTGCCCTAGCAAGGGTTAACAAAATGGAAAACTACAACACATTAGTCAGACATAACCCAATCGTTATGGAGATGAGGAGAAGTGCTTTATTTTTACCTGTTCTACCATTCCCAAATGTCAACCTTTCTCACCGCCCTCTTTCTCCGAAAACAATGTGTCTACTTAATGGAGGCACCTGTATTGCTGGGTACATATGCCCCACTATGCCATCAGATTATCCCCTTCACACGAGTATCCGCTGGCTCACATTAGTCCAATTTAGTACTTCTTTTCTGCAAACGGGTGCAGAGTGATGCATGCATACTTGTAGGCCTTGATGGGTTCACGCGCGATCTCTTCCATTTGTGCTCTCCATTCCTCCAATTCCACGGACTCCAATTGGCCCGCTAAAATGGCACAGACGTCGGCTAACCGAGCCTAGAAGAGATTAAAAAGTACTAAGTCAGTTCTATAAAGTTGGTTATTTTTTAAGACAAATTATTGTGCTTTCATCGGGAGTGAGGGCTTTACACAAGAGTGGCTAACAAGCAGTTACCGGGTGTCAAAATAACCAAATAACAACGCAGTCCAATTTAGTTTCCACCAAAACATAAGTTCCAATCAAAAAAAGCAAAAGACTTTCCAAGTTTGAATTAGGAAGGTGGAATATTCACTGTGAACGCACCCGCGCCAATTTTACTCTATTTCACTGTGAGAGAATGCTTTTAACATCAGGGAGACTTCCCATGGAGATCGTTTACAGAACTTAAAGACAAGAATTACAACTTTCCTGGAGGAACAATAAATGGTTATGAACTTCGTCGTAAGTTTCACCATTTGGAAAGGAGAAAATTTGATTAAGCAATATTCTTTTTTGGTGTTCAGAGTGTGACTTTTGTGCCTCTCTGTCACTACTACCACAATAGCCAGGAGCCGAAGTACCGCCAATCGGCTTGTTTATTTACCCGTACCACACAACATTAAGCATTAATGAGGCAGTGATTTAGTCTTTTCTAAATATATAAGATGGTGTGGGTAAGAAAACAGCTACATGATCGAAGGATGGAAGGAGGAGGCCAAGGAAGGGTTTTGTTCTGTCACTTGTGCGCTTGTAGTGCACACAGAGCGAAATCTGAATGAGGCAGGCCAGGAGTAGTGGGGTACAGAAACTGGATGAACTTAATCGCGGGATGCTCCCTCCCCATGCGCTTACCCCTGAACCCCCGCTTATTTATGCACCCAAGATTCACAGAGGTGCTGCGCTTTTGCCATCTTCTAGCATGTTCAACTATAAATTGAAGCTCCATGCAACAGCGTGTTGTAAGAAGTTTCGTAAAGCACTGAGCGACCTCACTTATTGAAAACACATAAATGTCAAGCTTTACAATGAACAGTTGATACCTTAAAAAGGGTGAAATATGATTAGGCAAATGAAATCAATGACACATAATCCCTTCTTTATAAATATGTATTTGTACTTGTTGCGGACACGAAGAGTGGATGCGTTTAGGAAGTACAGCTTGGTCGCCCAAAAGAGGACCTTTCCGACGGCATAGAAAGGGAATTTCAGATAAGAAGGTAATACGTTGGCTGTTTGGTTATCCCTCGGTTTTTGTACTCTTGCCGGGTGAGCCGTCCTCCGGGCCATACCAGAAGTCCCAAGTCCCTTCGTACGTCGACAATGCATACTCTGTTCGAGTACTATGTCTTCTTTCGTCTTAGGGGCGCTGCATTAGTGGCAGTGGAATACGAACCCGATCTTAAATGTCGATTGATAAACCCTAGTGGGGCGGGAGAAGTCCACGTGCCGAGGGTGGAAGAATCGGTGACAAGCCATAACAGAAGGACCGAAAATGACGTGTACCTTCGACAACTACCCCGGTCCCTTAGTCTGCAGGAAGGCTGTTAACAACAGAAGCGACACTAGCCGTAGCACTAAACTATCTGGAAAAGTTCGTTACGGAACTGTCAACAGTACCTCTATGAAGGCGTCAGGTAAGTAAACATGTGATGCCTCCGCCACTTCTCTGCTAGCTAGATAGAACACAGATAGATAGAGATGGACAGCACTGAGGTGGGAACAAAGTGGAAAGGGAAAATAAAAGCTAAACCCTACCCCACGAAACGATGTTAAATCTCAACCTTTGTCATTTGACTCCACTTTCGGGCCAGTACGTCCATGACCAGCAATGAGCATACATGATGGCCTGCGCACTTTCCCTTTCCCCAATTTAGTTCTGAAACAGGGCGGAACGCCAGATCTAGCTGAATTAGCGGGAAGGATTCGCGCCATTGTGATTAATTATCTTCCCAGCTGCACACAAATTCAATGACTGATGCAGGTGGTTCATGGGTATTTTTCCTACAGCACCAACTACGTCGTGATGGCCGGTACGGAAGGTCAACCAGGGGGTCAGGCTCAAAAGCGTAGAGAGGCTATGCAATTCTCTAACTGTTTGTTTATCTCTCGATTTTGGTAAAGGGACCACTTAGGGCTCTGCCATTGCCTCATGCCGGTCGGCCTAGCCTTTGGGACATGGCAGTAGCCTCAGGCCCTACTGTACGTCGGCAATGCATATTCTGCCCGAGTATTGTCTCCTTTTGCCTTCAGGGAAGTCGCGGGCGCTGCATTAATACACATTAGCGGAAACATTGAGGTGACTAGTCAACTCAATCGGGTGTCCTGTCCGAAAAAAACGTTAATATTTATGCTCTCAGTTAAATGCTATCGCCTGGCAAATTGAATAATCGGAGTTGAGCATGCCGATATCCATTCTGATATCGACGCTAAAAAAAGATCTTTGTAAAAGCGAGAAAACCGATTTGCAAATCCCGTTTTTCAAAAAAACCCAAAAAAACGCTAACCTAAACCAAATATCAAGAAACTTGTAACTGGATACATAACAAATCAACACTTAAGACTGACCCTGATATACAGCCGCCTAAAATTCAAATTTCTTTTGTCAGTCTTAACAGTCGACATAAAGAGAGGTAATGTTATCTAATGAAGATAGAGAATCGCACCAAGATAGGCACGTTTCCATACTGAATACAACTTCCGGCTTTCATAATGGTTCTTTGGCACACTCATAATTTCTTTTGCAATGAACGTCATTGGGACAGACCCATTTCCCTAGTTTAAGGTCAGAGTCCAGCAATGAAGGTAGCACAACTGGAATATCTGGAGTGCATATGCAGTTAGCGGCTTGAGAAAATTAAAATGATGCCTCAATGAAATTCCTGAAATGGAGCAAAGTGAGCACGAGCCTACCTACACATTTACTCCAGTCAAAGTTGGCAAGACTGCGTGATGTCGTCGAAGAGAAATTAACACTGAGTAAATTCAGCAGATGGGTGCTAGACCCGAGTTCTATCAGTCGGCCACAAGCCAAGCCCTGTGCTGGCGGTACGCGACTCTTCTTATGGTGCCGATGATACCTGTCTATTCGCTATTTCCATGCTCACAGGCCTTACAATAACTCCATGATCTTTGCAGAATAAAGCAGCAAGAAATTTATTGGAGTCTACATCGTCCAGAAGTGGAACATAAATACCGAGTTAAAAAGAGGAGGGACGCGCTCCAATTGTAAGTTGAAAAAGGTCAAAAAAGTGTGATGATTCACCTTGTAGAAATGCATTGGAGAGAGACCGGGTCCTGCGCGCCGTTGGAGGATGTAGTTGTCATGAGCGGGAATGCGAATGCAAAACTTCAGGCAAGTTTGATAAGTCACAGCGTCCCATACCGAGCGCAGGAACCAACGCAAGAAACCAAAGGAGGCGACTATCAGGGAGAGAAGGGGGTAGAGGAGAAGGCCACATAGTAGGGCTGCGACAAGCTGGAGAAGGCACCGAATTGTCAGGTGCCAGATGAAAGCCTCGAGGATTGGAAGCAGGCTATTAGGGTGTGTTGCTAGAGCGAGAGGTGAGGGGAAAAAGAGTTACTTTGGTGGGATGAGAAGACTCCGCACTGCAAGTGAGTCAGTCGCAGCGCAAACCAATGGATAGAGAGATGATAAGGCCGTAAAATGACAGGCCAGAGGGCTTGCTGAGTCATCAGGGACCAATGAGCAACTCGGGTAGTGTGTATTGTTACTCGTTTGGGCACATCATTTACTTCCGTGTTCATACAGTAACCGGCTAAACAGCCCCTTTCACCCACTATTCGAGTTAGCAATCAAAAAACAGCACAGATGTAGATGTTTATGTGACTTCCTTCCCTCCTCTCAGTTAGTGAGCTCACAAAAGTACCCATAATCAAGAGTTATGAGATGCTAATTTGCCCACATCTTAATTCAAGCTCCTTGTTTTTTACGCGCTTTGTGTTGCGCACTAACCCTGTCCCACCTTATTCCTTCATTTTATGACCACCAACAAACGCAATGCCCCGTCATTACCTAGGGTATTTCTAAATAGTTTTGCAAGTGTGTTTAATAATGCTTCCGGTGGAGCGGACTGTTCGCACACTCGATCTCAAACAGCAAAACAATTAAACGAAGAGACGTTAATAAGTACTTAAGCGATAATAAAATTGCTGTCTTTATCAGTATATGCGCTTCCCTGGAGTCGTCTCATCTTATGCGCTGTGTGCTTTAAAAGGAATAAGTGTTTCCCTTTCAAACAAATTCATTCTGTGTTTGCTAAGACAATGATGGAAAGCAGGCATTTCGATTGCCTATCGTTTGCATCCAGATTCATCAAGAAATGTTCAATCAGCCGGTATTGGGCAGAAGGAATTTAGCAACCAGTGTCGGCTATGGCGCAGAACCTACCGGGCTGCATGCCTTTGAATAAGTCACCCTCTGATCCAAATCTCCGCGTATTGGTATGCGGAAGGTGGATAAAGCAAAAAAGCGGAGGAATGTTTGTAATTTATGTGAAACATTTCCTCTTTCATCAAAGGGAAAGGTGTCTGTTATGACCTTCGGTTAATCTCCCGAAGCCGGTGGGACTACTGCAGCCAATGTTTCCGTCTTAAAAAATAATTGGTGGCGTGCAGAGATATCCACTTGGGATGTTTAAAGTGGTGGTACGTCTAGTTCGAAACAATAGTGTGTTTACAAGCCGGAAAATTGACAAACTCAGCTTGCCGATAACAACGATAGCAGTAGCGGCAGTCAAATCTCAGCAGAGCAAGGGATGACAATAGACAAGGGACAATTTGCCTACAAGCAAGCCATTTTCCACTAAAATTTTAGCATGATTTTAAAGATATTGTAAAAATTCGACGACTATGCGGTGTAGTTTATGCCAATCTGGCATTAAAAAATAGAAAATTAAGTGTTTTCATGCAAAACGAGAAGTTATTTTGATGGCTGAAATGTCTACCCGTTAACTAGTAATGAATGCTGGCACTGCGGAGGTACTCTTCACTTCAATACCACACACAACGGCATTCTTCTCTGGCTGCCAAGAATCTCTAAACGGTAACTTCATGATGATCAGGAGGCAATATTTTTTTGCATTCCTATATTTTCCTTTCCAAACCATTTATCAAGAGTGAGGGCTAAAAATACTGGAATCAATCGCCTCTATTTAGAAAGACAGAAAAAGGGTCATTTAGAACTACCGGAGGGAAAAAACCTACCTGGTTTATAGAAATCCCATAGAATGACACAGAGCAGGTGAAACACGAGACTGAGAGTGGGAATTAGCAAGAAGGCTAGAAGACCGATGCCTATGGACATTGTGGATAGAACTATGCAGATGGGTGGCATCAGCAAGGCAAGAAAGATGGAGAGCACAGCGGTGCTGAAGAAGATGCAGAAACGGTGAAGGGCAGGCGCTGAGCCCCGATCCGCTTCCGCGGCAGTTTGTGCTGATGTCCACAGTTCAGTAAGTCGACTCCGAAGGGTCGGACATTGCTTTTCGTTTGTGTAATAAATGTAGCCCTGAGATCAAAATTCAGTCATTCTGAAGGTGGTAATTCAGGTGCAAATGTGAAACAGTTTTCTGTCATTAGATAAATGTGGCTTTTACATAAACTTGAGAATTCCACTGTCATCATGCTGTTGCAATAGAGATGAGTTTCCCAGGGAGATTTATGATAAGCTGCCAGTGGCAGATGTCGCAAATTATGAGCTTCTATATTCCAAAGGTGTTAAATGTATGAACGATTCCTAAGGCACTAATCTCCTTTGACAAGTTTTGATAACACATTTCTACACCCTAAATGTTTGTGTATTATATTAATTGTTTGTTTAACTTTTGGTTTTAGTAATGGGCCACTTGGGTGCTCCGCCATTGTACCTTTGCTGGGTGGGCTGGCCCCCGAGCCATACCAGTAGCCCCAAGCCCTTCTGTATGTCAACAATACATATTCTGTCCTAGTACTGTCTTTTCCTTCTTCAGGAAAATCTTGGGGCGCAATATTAACAGTAGTGGGAAGCAAATCTGGTCTTACAGTAAAAATATCCTGATTTCTACTGCTGGACGGTAAATCCGAGAGTGACGAAAGATGGACGTATGTCATAGATGAGAGAATCTGTGACGACTTCTAACGGAAGGGTTGAGAAGAGCGTCTACCTTCAGCAACTATCCCAGTCCCGTATCCTGGAGAAAAGCTATTAACAACAGAAGCGATACCAGCTGTCGCTATGATCCATCTAAAGAAGTTTCATTACGAAGCCGCTTACCGTGTCTGTAGCAAGATGTCAACCAAACGGACTCGCAACACCTCCTCCACTTCTCTACTAGCTAGGAAGAACCCAGACAGATATGGCCGGGATGCATTTAAGTGAGAACAAGGTAGAAGGAAGGAAAAAGAATGAAACCTTATTTCCAAGGTACTATGTTAAACCCTGTCCTTTGTTATACGACTCTGCTTTTAAACCAGTGTTCTTACAACCAGCTATAGGCACGTACAATGGCCAACATAATCCTACGTCTCCGAGTTCAGTTCTCTTACAGGCCGAAACTCCAGATCCAGTACAGTTGCCAAGAGGGATCAGTGACGTTACAGTCAAGTACCTCCACAATTGCATGCAAATTCGGTTGTGAGGGTCTTCCTTACAGCACCAATTGTGTTGTGCTAGCTGACTCGGGAGATAGACCAAGGGTTGCGACGGTAATGACGCTCCAAAGCGAAGAGGGACTATACATATTTTATCGGTTTGTTTAGCTCTCGGTTTTGGTAATGAGCCACCTAAGGGCTCCACCATTGTACCTCCGCTGAGCGACCTGGCCTCCAGGCCATACAAGTAGCCTCAAGCTCTTCTCTATGTCGACAGCATACAGTCTGTACGAGTATTATGCCTTCTATCGTCTTCAGAGAAGTTACAGGGCGCTGCACTTGTTTACATTGGGGTAGGTCGATTATTTCAACCTTCTCAGGTCTTGCCTCCAAAAAGTATTCAACGCCTACAGTTTTTCCCCTGATTTCATTTGTGTCAATTCTACATGAGGCTTGTATATGAATTATGGAGCAAGGTCACCCTGATGGCATGGAAAGTCGTTTGAATATGGTTTGAAGCTTTCTGACCCTGCTAGGGCCCCGCTTATGCTCAGCACAGATTTCAAAGTGAATTCACCTAAAAATTTTACGGTTGAATGGATGTCTCTATGTCGCATGCTTAAAAAGGTGAGGAGTAATTTAGCAATAATAGGAGCTAAAAAGATGATTTTTGGCCATTGAGGGCAGGATAATTGCGAATAAAAGAAAAAAAGCGACACATGCGAGCTTGGAATTATTTCTTTAGCTCCTTCTGTTATGAATCTCTTCTCCAACCAAAATATCTGATCCCATCGCATCAAATACATTCACTGCTGCTTTACTTAAAAAAGCTTTTTCTCACAATAGATGGGTACCTTTCATGCAGGGTTATAATCCCTTTTTTCCCTCTGGCATTGACAGTGGGAAAAAACAAAGCATCTTAAATAATTGTAGTTCTGATCTCCTCTGCGGAGGTCCAAGGAAATCCTACCAGACTGGGTGTGGTTGGTCAAAGGCGGCACAAAATTTGCTCCATTTGGCCTTTGATGTCGATATTACCTTCTGAATGGGATGAAGAGCTCCCGAGTGGCCAAACAATTAGGGCTCAAGCACAAATGTTATGGCTGGCTTTTAAAGCACAAACATCATCCGCAGACGTGTTTACTCATTCAGTAAGAGTTGCAAATTCAAACAAATGATTCGGTCGGTGGAATAGGTAAAAGGATGCAACCCCTTTAAAATCTCAAAGGCTAGATACGTAGGACCCTCTTACCGTTCTTGGATTAACATCTGCTGAAAGTGGGATTGGCTTGTTTTGAAAGAGCGCAGTGAAACTGATAGGCGATCTGAATGGAATTGTGTACTAAAAGAAGGAAACACAACAGATGTAGCTTAGGAGTGGAAGAGCAAATATTACTTCACCAGGGCGTGCAATGTCAGCAACCGTAAAACTTAACAACCGCCTTAGTGGCTATATCAGCCAGGTAGGATGAAGCATACAATAAATGGGGAAGACGCAAAATGGGTGCAGAGTAAAAAGGTGGAACATAAACGTCTAATGAGTCAAACCCCTCGGATGTACCGTTAATGCAATGCCGTTAAGTGACGCGCATCCCAGTTATGCTGCCGTGTCCACGTCATACCGGATGACTTTTAGTCATACACGTCACATTTCTGACGCAGCTATGACAACCAAGTCAGAGCAATGGTAAACTAGTGAACGTTTCGGAAGCTGGAATTATACGCGTACATTCATAACCTGTTGAAATTCACGTTAATTTCCCTGAACGAAGCAAACGGGACTTGGGGGTTCTCACAATCTAACTAGCAACAGGCATTAAGATTTTATATAATAGATTACAAATGTCAAATGATGCAAATTTTATTCAGAACTGGAAGCATGTTTAAGGATGGTTGTGAGTGCAATGCCTGGCGGTACTATTTCACTAATACCTTAGGCGAAGCGTGGAGATGTAAACTCTTGTGAAAGGAATCAGAAATCCAGAAAAATGGTAAATGCTTCAAATGCCCGAGATAGTTTCGTACGGTTGAAAAAATAACGTTACTTCAGTCAGTTCAGTAGAGCGCAGTTCCAACAAAAACACAACCTACCAAGAAGAGCTGAGACGAGCGGATAAGAAGAACGAGAGTAGCAACGAAGAAGGCGTGCCACCGCCAAAATGCATAACGGGTCGAGGATTTGAACACCCAGTGTTTAACCACACCATATTCCGGCTAGAAATTTAAGAAGCAAGTAAACTCAAAAACCAAACAAATATAAATATCAGCAAGTGCACTACATGTTACACAACTTTTTAATGCTATTTTAGCCAGTTAAACATTGCATTACATGGGGAAAATTTATCTGTAGCCTGTCGTTCTTCATAGAGATCTATAGAGAAACCATATCATCAGAAGCGGGATTGAAATCTTATCAGAATCATTTGAATTAGATAATAAAATGGCGAAATTCGTTGACAATTTAAACCACTGCAAGCAGCTGCTATAAGATTTACCCTGGTTTTAGGTAGAATTACATAATCGGATTCTAGCGTGGTTCAATGGAATGCCCAGTTGTAATGTAAACCGTCTATGAGACCAAAAGTATGCAATGCGGTTTATAAGCATATTGTCTGTTGAATTTTATTTTCTGGAGAAATAGACAAATACAATTTTTCTAATGAAAAACTACTAAGCGTTGTCGATATTTGCCCCACGCACTCTACCACCAGTCGTGTGTTAAATAAAAAGTAGTTTTTTTTTCACCAGACGCACAATGTTGTAGTTGTCAAAGCTGCTACTCCGCAGTAGGGGGGAGGAATGTTCAGGATCCGGTGGCGAGCCAGCTTCAGTCGCTGAACCATCAGGTCGGCAGCGAAGGAGAAGGACGCCGTCCACGCGCTCTTGGTGGTGTGGAAAGATGGTGTCTCGGCGATAGACGCGCCAGTGACGCATCAGTTTGCAGGACACCTTGTGCGTGAAACGATTGTCCGGGCTCATTGACGTTTTAATCAACTCTGCCCGTATTCGACTCTCTCTCTGTAAAAGTTAATAATTCACAGCTTTCACTCCTCTTCAAGCCTGAGCTTATCTTTCGGGAACATGAAGTTCATGCAGCTACTCGCGCGATAATCACACCAGTCCACTAGTGAATATTTGAGAGGTTCGCTTCCAGGCCTACTCCGCAGCAAATGTTTTGATTTAAATAATCGTCTTCGTGGGGGATCACAAAATTACAAATGCTTGGGAAAATTCACTTGTTTATTTAAGATGTATTTTTAACCTAACAGAACCATCACTTTGGGAAGAATGCTTTTTGAAACCATCCAGTTGTTTCACCTCAAGTGTAAAAGATTCTGCAATCGGGTGACGCTGGCAAAACAAGTTCCAATATCATGTTTCTTCATTCCTCAACAATGCTTCACATGGGAGGCAGAATATAGCATTCCTGAAAAGCCGCCACTTTCGAAGCAAACTTCTACATCCCCATAATTTTTTCATGTTAAATTACACAATTATTTCAACGATTGAGCAGATCCTCAACTTCTACCGCAAGACTACTTATGACAGATGTGCTTTTATAATGTATTAATTATTTGTTTAACTCTTCGTCATGTTTCCAAGGGCACTTAAAGCTCCGCCTTTGTACCTCCGTTAGGCGGCGTGGCCCCTCAGCCACGCTAATAGCCTCCAGTCCTTCTGCACATCGGCTATGCATATTCTGTCCAAGTCTTACGACCTCTCGTCTTCAGGGAAATACCAGCCTGGTAAATTGGTGGTAGCGGAAAGCAAATCCAATTCTAAAACACAACTACCCTGATTTCTATTATTGAATGCTAAACCTTGACAACTGAAGCGGCACTAGCCGTGGGCGCGAGCTACCTGGGAAATTTAGTTATGGAGCTGTCCACTACGGCACATAAATGAAGATGTCAATGAAGTGAACACGCGAGACCTCCTCCACTTCTCTACTAGCTAGTTAGGATCCAGACGGATATGGGTGGACGGTACTGACGAGGGGGAATAAACACCAAACATTATTCACACGAAACTACTTTGAGCCTCACCCTTTTATTAAAGGACTTTAATTTTAAGGTCAGTGTTTTTGCAACAAGATGACCGGCACGTTCCTCCTTCCGCCAATACAATTCCCAAACAGGGCAAAACTCCAGATCTGGTGGAGTTGCCGAGATGGATCAGTAACGTTGCTATCAGATATTTTCTTAGTTGCAAGCAAATTCGATGAATAGCGGGGTTGGTTGGTGAGTGCTTTTCCCTACAGCACCGACTACATTGTGATGACTGACGTGAGAAGTTCACCAAGGAGAATGCTGACGACGACACTCAAAAGAGGAGGAGGGCTATATAATGCTTTGGTTGTTTGTTTACCTCTCGATTTTAGTAAAGGGACCACTTAGGCACTCCGTCATTGTACCTGCTTCAGGTGAGGTGACCTCTGAGACATGTCAGTAGCCCAAGCCCTACACTGTATGCCTTCTCTCGCCTTCCAGGGCAATCTCGGGGCGCCGTGTCTTAAGCTACGTAAACGACTTCGTAAAGTTCCGAAGCATAATAAAATTTTCACAAGACATGAAAAATTTGCCGCACTTACCTCTCACACCTTCCAGTGAAAATTTCTTAGTTAAATGGGAACCTTGCCTCAAGAATATCATGAAAGCATCAAATTTGCTCCAAATATCCACACCGACTTTATGCTAAATCTTGTAGATTTTGCTAGAAAAAAAAATAACTACACCAAAATCAACAATGTTTCAACCCATATTTTACAATTTAGTTATTCCATTTCTTTACAATTGGCACTGCGCACTTTTTTCATAACACTTTTGGGAATGCAGGAAACATTTTTACCAGTTTCAAAAAATAATGACTTCCAATGCAAGAATTAACACTAAATCTAGCCACGGGCATTGTTGCAATGGCCACCCTAAGTCTTCATTCCATGAATTCGAGATACGACTGTTGTAGGTGCGTCCTGGGCAGGGTGAACCCTGTGGAATGTTGCAGTAAACTCCAAGGTATGACGACTCAAAAAACATCATCTAATAGAAATAATACTTTATTACTTTGGCTGCTATCGACGCCACATACTTTTGACGTTTGTAGTTTATCAGGTTATGATAAACGGTGAGATATTCTTGGTCCTGAAATAATTACAGTCAATTTCAGTTTTTGAGGAGAACAGCTTTCAGTGACTATGGTGGTCGATCTTCCTCCGGGACTTTGGTGGGAAGTGTTTTATGAAGGCTTTGAAATACTCCCATAAACGTTCTTCGCCCACATGGACTCCGCGTTAAGTCTAGTAGTTATCGAACATCGACTGACCGAACTGAAATTTGTACCTACTTAAAATACAAAACTCCAGTGATCCTGTCACAGTCAAAACCTCAAGATTATACCTACTCCATCGTATCTCCACGGTAGGCGCATTAAGCACTTCCAATGGCGCCTTTCAGGCTAAATCGTTTTCATATTGTGAATTCCGTCATTCTTGTGGCGTTAGCGCCGGTCCCCGGCTTGACAAACAGCAAGTAGGTCTACCTTAAGGTCGTTCTTTGGTAAACGCATCCTACGAGATGCTACGGTGTGCTAGAATTGTTCCAAAATTCAACAGACTCAAACCTATCCGAATTTATTTCCCTTCTGATTGTCGTCATGTCCCAGTAGAGAGCCACCACCCAGCGACAAGAATGCTGTAAAACCATCCACTCACTGAGGAGCAATCACACCAACATAATGTACGAGTTTTATGTAGAATTTGGCTGTCTAAATTTATGTCTCCAAAATGCCTTCTGCTGCAGTGGCTCTGGTTCCATCCCTATTTCACCGGTTTATTTATTTCCGGTATCTTTTCGCAGCACTACAAAGCTGGACCCGCCCTCCCTTCCATCTCATACATCCACCAACTTGGAGGGGTAATCTCGTGAGGGTACGCGCTTCCCTAACCTTCGAAATCGTCGTGATGTCGTCGGTGAACGCTCTACAAGGCTAAATTTATTGCTTTTGGGGAGTTATTATTTCAAATAGGACTTTTTGGGTACCAATACCTTGTTCCGAATTTTTCGCATAAGCATTCAAAATTAGGAACTTTTTGAAACTGTTTTACTGACTCGTACTTAATGCAATTTTCGCAGCTCAAGGATTCCACATCGTTCATCTTCAAACCAAGCCAAAGTATGCCTATGCTCCTCATCCAATTGACCTGCATTTATAAATTATTTGGAAAATGGATATAGTGGTTGAGGTCACTTACCTCAGTGAGGAAGAGCAAATCACGTTTGACAAAGTACCCATGTTGATGAAGGCCCAACTGCTTACACTTTTCAATCACCGACCTATGAACGTCAAATCGATGTGCCTGAAAAAGGATGGAATATTTGTCGAGTACCACACAAAAACGCTAGTGTTTGGAGAAAACTACGCACTTTGATTGCGGCAAGCACGGGCAGCATGAAGATGTAAGGGCAAAAAACTCTAAAGCTGCCTAATGAAAGTAATTAGTCTTAGTTACGAGCACAGTGCCTGGTAAGAGGGAAAATGCTCAGCATCTGCATGCTCGCTCAGCCACCATCTCTTGGCGCCATGACATAATGCCAATGGTTAATAGTTCTCAACCATTTTGGAAGTTAAAAGTGGAACCCCTTTCCAAACTGATGCAGCTAACTACGCCTTTAGTAATGACTCAGGCGCTGAATTGTTGAAGATTCTTAGAGGTTTTCTGGCAGAACTTTGCACCAGTGCTAATGCATATTTATTACAAAGTGGACGAAAAGTCAAAAAGCGCATTTTTAACGCAAACGAAAGTCTAAAATCAATCCACATTCAATTTACAGCAACAGGTGTAACATTCTCAGGATTTGATGGTTTTGAACACTTCAATACAGGTCACTCTCGGTTTTGGTAATAAGCCACCTAGAGCTCCGCCATTATGCTTTAGCTGGGCGGCACGACCTACGGGTTGCGCTAGTAGCCGCCAGACCCCTTCTGTAGGTTGAAAATACATATTTTGTCCAAGTATTGTCTTCTTCTGCCTTCGGGGCGCTACATTAGTGGGATCAGAAAGCACACTTCATCATGCAGGAAAACCAACATAATTTTTACTGCTAGAGGATAAACCTTAGCAGGGCGAAAGAAGTGCATATGGTGCAAGTGGGAGAATCTGTGACAACTCCAAATAGAAGGGCTGAAAGTGATGTGTACCACTGCAAACTACCTCAGTCCTGTGTTCTGCAGGAATTGTTACTAACAGCTAAAGCAACACTAGCTGTGAACTATCCGGAAAAATTCGTTATAGAGCTGCCTACTGTACCTGTATGAAGATATCAATTATGTGAGCTCATGATACCTCCTCCACGTCTCTAACAGCTGGATAGAACCCAGATAGATATGGATGGGCGGCACCGCAGCGAGAACAAAGTCGCAAGGACGAATGGACGTGAAAACTTATTCCAGCGGAACCATGTTAAACTCAGTCCTTTGTTATATACCTCCACCTTTAGGCCAGTGTTCCCGCGGCTAACAAAGGCCGTGCGTGTTGGTTAGCACATTCCCCGTCCTCAAATCTAGTTTTCATACAGGATGAAAATGCAGACCCAGTGAAATTGCCAAGTGGGTTCAGTGACGTTGCAGTCAAGAATCTTCTCATGCGCATACGAATTTGATGACTGGCATGACTGGCTCGTGGATGTTTTCTTACAGCAGTGACTATGTTGTAAAGACCGGGGCGGGTGGTTGACCAAGGGGATTGGCGGGGACGACGCTCAAAAGAGGAGAGGGGCTATGCAATACGTTGGTTGTTTGTTTAACGCTAGCTTTTGGTAAAAAGACCACTTAGAGGCACTTCCATTGCACATCTGCCGGGCAGTCTGGCCTCTGGGCCGTATCGGTGGCCTCAAGCCCCTCTGTATGTATTCTGTCCGAGTATTATATCTTCTTTCGTCTCTATAAAAATCTCACTGCGCTATATCTTATTAAATCCTGCGGAGCAAACACATTTGCAAGAAGTAGATTGACCTTTTCGTGTTATTTTTTCCACTCTCCTAGGTAGGACGTTTTTTGACCGTCATTTTTGGCCTTTCAATCGTGGGCCAAATCCTCACTGCACGGCGCGATGTGGAGGCAGCGGCAGATTTTTGTGCGCGACCACTTCCTGCTCCCAATGTTCGGAGGTAATGTGTAGAGAGTGTGCATTCGTTTTGACCAAGGGAGAAAACATTAGGGGTAACGGTGGGTACACTTTACCAGTCTCCACGTTTCAGGGAAACAAGGAATTGACAAAGACTATCTCATAGATTCATATAAGTGATGTCGTTATATATGGGTACAGTTTCAGTCTACTCAGGCACTCAGTATTAATAACTTTAAGCAATCCATTGGTGCACAATAAAACCGCTGGGGATAGCTTGCAAAACGAGGGAATCAGGACAAGCCCTTACCCGCATAAATGCTGTCTTGGCCTTTGCCATTTGTTCCTTCCGCCACTGTGGAATGCCCCAGAGGATGGGGTGAGTCCGTTTCATGAGCTCCTCAGTAGTGGCCTTGTGGGCCAGCCAAGAGTCGCAGAGACTCGCTTTCGACTCCATCACTGCGAGGCTGAAGGTAGCCTCCTGGATTAGGGCTTGAGCTTTACAAGAATACACAAAAAGCCGCCGTTTTGCTGTGGTAAAGTACAGAATTATTGTATTCGTGTCATTGTGATGGGGTACTGTTATAGCAGGAGAGATCATTTGTGCCTCAACTGCTGCAGGAAAATCTGTATTTAACGTGTCTCAAATCTAGTGCAGGTCAAAAGCACATTCGTAGAGCCTTGTCTTGACACATTTTGGATGCTAAAGGCAGACCAATTAGTCACGCATGTCCTCACCCTTTCAAAGGCACTAACATGCGTAGTTCCACCACAAAAACAACTTCTACTGACGTTTAGGAGGACAATCCGTGGGTTATTACGATGTTCCACGATCAGATCCTCTTAAGAGAGTTCCATAACACGCTCATGGGGACTAGTATTTCTCAAACAGTTTGCATATTTCAACTTCATTTAAATTACACTGACCATTATGCAAAATTCGTAGACTGTCAAACCACACCTTGGGCAACATCACCAGCCCCTCTGAACGGCGAATTGGAGCCATCACAAAAGATGTGAACAATTTCATTATGTTCTAAATAGCTCCATTATACTGGATCACTTTTAACATTCATGAGCATGTTCAACACATATTGGTGATTCAAATAAAGTCCTACAGATTATCAGCAACACCATGACCAATTTTTGTTTTATCCGAGGGAAGCCACAGCTATTCTAGTAAAAAGTTCTTTTTGCGACTATCTCAGCTAGCGTTAAGGTATTCAACCCTTTGCTTACCAACGAGTGGTTCAGCATGGGAAAGGCATTCACGATTAGGATCAAAGAAACAGAAAATCCCAGGAGATGCATCTACTATCAAGCATGAAGCATTAAGTTTCTAAGTCCTTCCTAGAATCGTATAGTGATTTTAGTTTTATGAAATAAAATAATCTCTCTAGCAAGAATTAACAATCCGTTTTTTAAGATGAGGCTAATATAGATGCAGATACGACTTCATATATAACTCACATCCAACGAAATTGAAGAATTCGAGGTGCTAATGATGGTAATGTCCCGAGTAAAAAAAGAGGAAAGGGAAAGAATATGTTACCAATGGTCGGATTTATTGCGTGAAGGGCTTCGTTCTCCTTCATCGCCTTGAAAAGCCGTTTCGCGTACTCCCTCAGCCCGCGAGCGCAGATGATCTAAATTCCAAATGCACGATTAAAAATCAGAAAAAGTTGTTTTTTTCCAAAAACCTTTTACGTCAGGTGCAAAAATCCACGATTTTGGTGTTGTGGCCGAAACCATATGGCTGGTACGATTGCCACATACCAGTACCCTATGGTGAGCATCACCAAATACGCTTCTGTCCCAGTACAAATAATTAGGACATCTCTCATTATTACTTTAAAAATGTACACCAGTAGTAGTTCCACCGTTATAACAAACTCGACTCGGCATAATTAAAGTGTCAAAATTGAAGTTTTAACTCTTTTTTAATGAGTGCGTCTGTTGTTGCAACGCACCAAGGCCTGCTTGCTGTACGTCTCGCCTGGGGAAGACTAATTCCTCTGTACTTTCTGACAAAGGGAAGGAGTAATTTTAGTTGTGTAGCCCTTTAAAGCTGCTGGAAATTACGAAGAATGGCATTAACGTTTGCTTTCGAAGGAACACTCGTTCCCTTTCCTTTTTACAGTCCACTTCCGTCTAGTAGATTTGACGCGGCTCTCAAAACGAGCTCTTCTGAGGCCGTGGGTGTTCAAATCCCCAAGTGAATTGCTAAAGTCACCATCTATTGAAGTTATCAGCCATTTGGTAGAGTAGCGTGAGTAATGTGCCCCAAATGTCGGCGTCATTTGGGTGTTGCTCTACACATCATCCGTAAGTCAATAGCGCATTCTTCGAATGAAGAATATTTACTCTACTTTCTCACCCTACATTAAACAGGAGATCGTAGCCGTTGGACTGAATTAAGTGGCAACAAATTCACTCTAAAACCCCCCGACGACCAAAACTTTCGTCTTCCTTTTAAATAACTTATTTGTGGCTTTGAGATTTTCCTACAAAACCCATTAGTGAAATTCTAACCAGACGAGGAAAAAGTGAGAAAAACTTACGTCTTTGATCTCCGCATTTGGCTTCCCAGCACCTGAAGCGAAAAATACTGCAGATGTATTAAAGTCTTTCGATTTTTGGCTGTTTCTGAAGCTACCGACGGCGTAGTTCATCCACAGCAGTCTATGCTACCTTCCATGTTGAGCTTAGCATGGACCTTAAAAGATATTTTCACATTTACATCCAGATAATCTGATATTTATCTGATTAGTTGACAAAGAAATAAACAAAACGCATTTCACTTTGTTTTCACTTTGTCAGAATTTGTAAAATTTTAATGAGAGAAAATTGATATCAAATCCCCTGACCGAGAGCGAGATATGTTTGACTAGTTTAATGCCTTACTGTCTCATTCTGAATTGCTACATCCGAGGCTCTGGAGGCATCGCTTTTGAAGCATGAAATTCTACAATTTGATTATGCTCTTAGGGCTGAAAGAGTTCCATCAGTCATGCCAACCTACACACGGTCAAAGTGGATCTACTATGTGAAATGTCTCAAGCTCAACTGTAGGCACATATGGAACTCAGGCATCGATGAATCATCAACTCAAATGCAGCGATGGGGCGTCGGGTCTTCTTTAAAAAAGATTCAACTAACTTAACGACTCAAACTTACCAACTGTGGTAGACTGTCCTCCTGACACATGGAAAGAACCAATAAGCAATAGCTCGTCAAAATTGAAGGACAGTGAATGTCAATCATCGCTGTTTTGTGCCAACAGTGAACAAAGAAGTTGAGTCGTATAAGGTTATTTGTAAAATTGAATAACACACACACACACACAATGTTTGTTAAACACATGCTACTGGGAGAATATTTCACCTACTTTCGCATCAGTAAGCACGAACCTCATGACAAGAATTAAACAATTAGGACAGATCAAGGGATCAGGTCAGCATAACTTATTTCACTAAGGGTTTTTAATGTTGCCTTAGATACCAGTTTTGCAAGTCCTAGGTGAGTTCCACAGATAAAAAATCGTTTTTATATATGTTGTGTTTTTGTTTTTACAATTTCAATTTACACTAGAAGTTCAAACTTTCACCGATGAAATTGTTTGCTTTTTCCATTTCAAAGTTCACCCAGTTTGAGTACTTCAAACACGTTTCCAGTTTGCTGGATTACAATAATGGCCATCGAACTCAGTAGCTAAGGCAGGTGGGAAAAAATACTTGGCTGTGTCGCACAAGCGCCTGTAACAAAAAGCAGCATTGAAGTGGCATTATTCACCACGCCTGAACACGTCGTATTTTACAAGCCAAGGCTCGAAATGCGACCCTTGCTGCAAAGCGAATGCAACGGCGAGTTAAAAAGAATTGGCGAAATGGTTGACTTACGTTTAAGACTAATATAGAGGTTATTTTTGAATTCTTCAAACCAATTATCGTGGACCTCTTGTCGCAGCTGGTTGATCACAACTAAGCAGCGCTCCAGCAGTTCGTTGTCGTAGATTCGCAGATCAATGGGCAGTTTGGAGGGTGTGATGAAGGCGAACGGTGGCAGTGGTGGTTGACCCTCCTGTCCCTGTAAAGTCATCATCATTGCCATCGCCTGCTTCTCACCAGATAATGGTCATGGCTTTTTTTTTCGAATGAAGTGTTGCATTACCGCGGTTCAAAAACCATCATTAAAATAACTGAAAGTGCGACACCAAGTGTTTTAGATCACGAAAGGTAGTTTTACTAACTGCCGCAATTAAGAACCCACAAAGCTGTCAGAAAGGAAAGTAAACCTGGAGATTTCATGCGAACACGCGACCATTTGGGGTTTTGTTCTGCTGGGACTGTTACCAAGTTCCTGCAGTCCGTCCTAAGCATTTCACACCTCTTCCATTTGTATACATAGCACTTAATCACATCAAAACGAGACTTTTCTCCATAATCTAGCCCGTCTTTGTCTCTCCTGGTTTCTATCTCAATTGACGAGGCTCGGCAACTTCATGCTGTCTAAAAAGCCGGCTTTTCTACCACTGGTACGAACTTTTCGAATGAAGCGTGTTGCGTTAGAAAGGTGTGGATTCGGTTACTAGTCAATAAGTTATCCTCGGCGCAGTACAGTCGCCAGCGCAAGGACTACAAGGTCTGACGTGGTTTTCATGCTCGCAAGACCATAAGGCATGCAAAAACTAGTCGGCCTTTTGCATTACTAACACAACTTCAGCGACTTGAGATACTAATCTCGTACGTAAACATGGCATTACAGGAGTCAACCCATTTCTCCTAATTGCCAGCCTTCCCACGATGTAAAAAGACGACACATTAGTAAGCTTTTAGTTCACAAATTATGGCTTTTTATAGAAAAAAAAGGCTTAAGTAAATATAAAGGCAAATATTCCTTGCCTTTTCGTCAAGTTGGACCGCAATTTTTCTTATGAATCGCCTATTCTTCCAATGCCAAGCTGGTTTCAAAGACTACCAACACTTTGTCCAATGCTTACATTTCTAGTTAGAAATCTCCACGCATCATTACTGCAGGTAGTTTATCATTGGTTTACGAAAAGCAAAGATGGTCTCCAATGTTAAGGTAATGTTAAAATTGGGCCATCCAAGAAGCGATCTGTGTCAAGCGTCGTTCCAGCTGCGCACCTATTTATGCTAATGGCTCGTGCTGTAGGAAATTAGCAAAAAGCATAAATGTCCGGTCATCATTCATGCCCAGTCCATATCCTTAGCCAAATATTGTTCGAAAAAGAAATATACATACATATAAGTACCACAAACCCATCCCACTAGTTAGCCTTTGTTGTGACAAGACAGATCAGTCATGGCACAAGAGGGATTTCTTTTCTCCTCGGAGAGATTTACTTTGATACCAAAATTATGACCTGTTTGCTTGTCAGTAACTAGCACTTGAAACTTCGAGATGTATACAATTAGTTAATCAGAAGACGGTCCCAGATTACAAACTCACCAAATTGATATTCTCAGGTAGATACGACACTCGTTCGGCAAAGCTCCAGAAAGCTTCCAGGACTTGTCGATTTGTTGTCTGAAAGATTAAAAGAAAATTAAGCGATTATAACCGCAGTAAAAAGGGCGATTTTAATGAGCCAAGTGCGTACAATTATTATAATCTCCCCAATCCGTTTTATGCAAATTTAACATTGATCCCATAGAAGGACGAAGGAGCAGCCTGCTCCGCTATAGAATTCCGTAGTTATCGCGGTTGAATAGCTACTGTATACATTTGCTAATCATTTAGGCGAAGTTAACAGCAGCATAATTAGTCGGAATCTATTTATCGTATAATACTTTATCGGCTTGTTAAACACTCGTTTTGGTAAAGGGGTCTCTTGGGTACTCCGATATTGCACCTTCGCCGAATGAGGCGTCCTCCGGGCTATGCCAGTAGCCTCTAACGCTTCTGCACGTCGAGATACATATTCTGCCCAAGCATTGTGTCCTCTTCCGTCTTCAGAGAAGCCTCCCAGGCACTATAGCAGTGGTAGTGGAAAGCAAGCACTATTTTAAAGGAAAAAATATCCCGATTTCTACTGCTAGATGATAAATCTAAGCATGATGGAAGAAGGACATATGTTGTGGATGGGAGGATCCATGGCGACCTTCAACAGAAGGGCTGAAAACGATGTCCACCCCTATCAACTACTCCAGTCTCGTGTTCTGCAAGAATATTACTAACAACTGAAGCAACACTAGCTGTGAACCATTCGGAAAAGTTCGTTACAGAGCTGTCTACTGTACCTGTACAAAGACGTCAACTCTATGAACTCACAGTACCTCCTCTACCCCTCTACCAGTTGGAGAGAACCCAGATAAATATGGACGGGCAGCACTAAGGTGAGAACAAAGTGGCAAGGAGGAGCAGACGCGAAACCCTATCCCCACGAGGCTATGTTAAACCCCCACTTTTGTTATATGAATCAGCTTTTAGGCCATCCCCACATTCCCAAGCCTAGCTTTCATACAGGACGAAAGGCCAGATCAAGTGGATTTGTCAATACAAATCAGTGACATTGCGGTCAAGTATCATCTCAGTTGCGCACAGATGTGATGACGCATGGTTGGCATGTAGGTGTTTCCTTACCGCACCGATGACGTCGTGATGGCCGACGCAGGAGATTGACCGAGGGAAGCGCCGGGAGACGATGCTTAAACGTGTAGAGGGACTATGTAATGCGTTGGCTGTTTGTTTAACCCTCGGTTTCGGTAATGGACCACTTAGAGGCTTCGCCATTGTACATGCACTGGGCGTTCTGAACCCTGAGCAATACGACTTGAAAATACATATTCTGCCCAAGCCTTATGTCTCCTCTCAGCTGCAAGGTAATGTCGGAGCGCTACAATTTTCCTTTGTGGTTCAATTCTCCCGGCTGATTTAGCACCACAGAGCCTCTAAATGTGATACTTTTGGCTGTAACAAACTTTCAATCTTTATGTTTCAAAATCACCTGTCTTGTAAGACGCAATGAACCAGTGACTCATCTGGTGCAAAGGCTACGTGTAAGCCATTAAGGCAAAGTATTCTGTTGCGTCAATAAACGGCTCAAAGATGTATTTTTTCATCCACCACCTTTAACCTCTTCAGTGAAAGCCATTGCGTGCATTGTCTAATTGGAGAGAGACTTTTTTCCCTCATAAACAATGCTGTTATTAAACTAATTCCCTCAAAAGCACTCGACCTTTTCCAATAACGCCAAGTGAATGTTGAAGTGTTCGTGCCCCATGGTGTCTGAAAAGGCGTCACGATATCATTACAAAAGTGCTCACTTCTAATTAATCATTTCCACCCACCTTACAGATAGGAGGGCGATGCCCTCTGCAAAAGAATGTAACCCGACTATATGCACAGGTTTCCACCTCTTCGGAGGAGGAAGAGGTAGTTGAAATGATCAATGATCTTCCCAAATTTTCACATTGTAATTTTAAGCTTTGTAGGTTGACCTTTCGAGTCTTAGAGACTGGACGAGCCCTGGCTGGTATTTTGTTTCAGACAAGATTTAAAAGACGACGGAAGTTGGGAGAATGGTTACAGTACGATAATCATTCCGGTCTGCGCCACAACTCAGATCGTTATTTTTCCTTCGATGTCTGCGGATTTACTGAGGAGTGCCCTACTTTCCCTTCTGTGTGACGCATGGAAGCGCATAATGTCCTGCCTTTATTGTTGGTGTAACAGGCGACAGGAGAGCATGGGGCATAAATAATTTGGGCGTGTGCGCGTAGCGCTTAGTTGTGCGCTTAAAAACATAAACACGACCACGCTTGCAGCAGCATTCTCTAAGCACTGCTGGTGAGTGAATACACGCGGCCATGTTACATATTTTGGCTGTACATTTCAGCAATTACATATCGCCTAGTCTGCGAATCCTTTCATTGACATGTCGACGTGTTCTTGCCTTGTGCGTCAACCTTCGGAAATTTGATTTGTGTTATGCCCGTCTCAGCATCGATTCTGGACGTTGCACCACTGGGAGACATCAGTCATAACGTAAGGACGCGAGGACTATCCCATCACTTAGTGCTGTGCAAAGGTGGTTGGGTCAAGTCAAACAGAATTGAGAATCTTGATTGGTATGCTCCTGTTTTGAGGTTTCAGTGTAAGCTCAAGACCACAAAAACCCGTCTTTTCCCTTGCTTATGGATATTAGGGGTTACAACTTTAATAACGATGTATTTCCGTGGTAAGTGAGAAATCACCCCAATTCGTGGGAATTTTGCCTTGAATACGAGAATATAAGAGGATACTGATTGTTGCTGCAGTCAGGATATGATAAATGATGGAGATCTATGCCTATCTACCACCACACAAAAAAAAGAAAAAGTAGCGATTTCTCTCTGTTATTTGGGAAGTTAGAGCGCTGTAATGGTTTTATTAAAAAAAGCAAACTGTTTCCGTTGATGTGCACTTGCTCCGATCACTCTTCAATCATGAAAAGTCCTTCTAAAATAGCTTTCTAACAATTATTCGCATGAATCTTGTCAAACCAGGATAAGTGACTTGACTTGAGGCAAAAACTTTAGTCAGTTCAAGTAAAAGGGGTCAAATTGTGTCATAACGAATGAACATAAAGGCTGCAAACCTATTCATTATAGGGAGTTAGTTTAGTCTAAAAGGCTTTGCACCGCCCGAGGACCCGAAAATCATTGAGGGTGTTCGGCGTTTCTAAGGTTGAACTTAAATGTCTTCCCATGTGAGGAGGTAAAGGAAATGACATTGTAAAAAGAATGGAATTTTAGTCCTTTTTAACTATATTGACAAATGAATGCATAGAGAAATCAAAATGCAGCTTTCAATGCTTAGTAAATGTTGGCCAAAACGAAGTACAACAGAAGAAGGTCAACGGGAAATCCGGTGTTTTGAGTGTTGTTGCCATACTACTTATTTACCAATTAGTCAGTTTGTAAAGCTTCATTTGTATCAAACGCCAAAAGAACCTTTATTTTGTACCAGAAGTGCAGCCCAGTTAACTTATTCCTCACCAGAAACGAGCTTCACACATCCCCATTTCGTGAGCGTTTATCACTCATGAGAGTGTCTCAAAATCTGGTCAATGCAGATTCGGACATCCGGAGATAGGATCACCAGCGACATTTTAAATTTATCCATTAGCGATGCGCAAAATGTGTTTTAAATTCAAAATGATTCACTCTTGACACAATTGCTTCCCAATCATTGTCTGGAACTTTGTTTTATAAATCCAATTCCAATCTACTTTTTGTAGTGGTCAGAAGTTGGGATTATGTTTTATGAGGCCTCTTGTGTTAGGTGATACTGAGTTCCCTGTCTTCCAAATGGGGTCAAGTCATAAAGTGATGCGAACTACTGAGGTGTTAAGATTGTGTGAGAAATGTAAGAAGGAGCTTAGGGTCACGAAACCCCACATGTGGGGCACTTGAAAGCTAACATGATTTCAATCATGTTGCGTACACTAACCACAAAGGCTGATGGAGTTGGTGTTCTGCGCTGACTAAAAATTGGGGGATGGCTTGAGCGCTCTCAGCCAAAACCAACTCATAATAAAGCACCACAGGTTACTATTCGACTTCAAAATCGCCTCTGTATTCGAAAATGAGAGGAATTTACAATGCTGTCGCACACTTTAAGATTGCAGTCACTAACGTAATACGTTAGCTGTTCGTTTAAAGCTCAGTTTTGGCAATAGGTCCGCTTAGGGTCTCCCCCATTGTACCGTCGCAGGATGGACGGGCCCCCGGGCTATGCTAGTAGCCCCCACCTCCGCCCAAGCCCGTCTATAGAACGACAATGCATAATCTGCTCGAGTATTATGTCTTATTTCATCTTCAGGGAAGTCTTGGGACGTTGCACCAGTCCTAATATTAACACACCCCTCCGGCCTCATTTAGACAGACATCTGGGGTGAAAACAATTTCTAGCTGTAATAAAGCGTCACTATGTCAGAATAAATCCTCCAAAATCCACTCGAGACTTCTTGATGGATGCACAAGTTTACTATTGGATGAAGGGAAAGCTATAAATGAGCCTGGTTTCCGTTCCAAATGAATGGTGAGTGAATGGCATTTGCCTTTATAAGGGAGGATTTTATGCCACTTGGACCGCTGCCAAAGTTAGAGAAGTTGGCCATGCAAGCCGCATAAAACTCACGGGGAGAGGGTAGGTGATAATGCCACATGCGAACGCACCTTAACAGTAAGATCACCAGTGGTAAACTCCAAACGCTCCTCCAAGAGCCTCCTATCGATATCCTCGTGGTGAACATGCGGTAATCCAATCAACAGATCTACAGCACAACGTAAACCAACAAAAAGTAGAGCTAGCACAGTATTCAGCAAAAAAACAACGTTTATTCAAAGCCTCAAACGTGGTTAATATGTATGCAGAGAACAACCACTATTCCCCCTTCAACTACATTATTCAAGGTTGTCAGATTGCAGTAACAACAACCGCTTCAAAAGGTCAAATGAGGTGACTTTCTGACAACAATATTTTGCGGCAAATGATACATTTTACGTGATCAACAAAAAGGCTACACTTGAGGTATAAAATTACAAAAACCTGCTGCATTTGAGACGATACCCCAGATTTTACATCCCTCTTGTGGCGTTTATATGAGTACGTCGGAGAAAAAAGTGGAAAATATCACCACAGTACACTAAAATAACCCTTTCACCATGAGAGGAATGCATTCCATCGTCCAAAACACTGCTTAAGACATGAGGCTTCATCAACTTAGTTCCAATTTGCTTTCAGCAGCCGAAGGAGTATAATTCCCCAAAAAACTTAAATAATTGCTGAAATTAGGTATGAAATTGATCAGCTTCATATTTAGTCGGTGTTTTAATCTGGAATTTTGCTTATAAAAAAACGAATAATCAAGGGAGGCCTTGGAAACGGTGAGGAGCATCAACTCGTGGGAGTAGGTAAGTTTCTTTGAAAATAAAACGAGGAACATGATTTACAGCCATAAATGTGTGATTTACTTCTAGTAGAAGATTGAGGGGCAAAACTAAAGCATTACATAGCAAACGTTTGTTCTTATTTAGTGATATAAAGCTTTAATTGGGACACACAAAACGTATTTACTCGGCTGTAACGAAAAGTCAAACTACAGAAACTAAAAATTAAGCATAGCAAGAATGTTTCCCGTGAGAGACCACAAGAAAATGAATGTTGGAATGCACACACCAATAGTGGAGCAGTGTAGTTTAGAAGTCTCCAACCGAGTGCCTTACATTATCTACCAAGCCTTGCAGTTGATGATGTTTTAACACACTTTCGTGCTCGAGTTCGACTACGCTAGGTATGTCTTTTGCGTGTTCAAACAGCGTCTCAATGTCAGTTTCCATCAGCTATGTTTACTACCAGCGTCACATGTTTGTGGTATTTGTGATTTATCAGTTTATGCTGAATGACTGCACAAAATCATACCGCAAACGGGTTGACTGGGCGCAAAACAACACAATGGATGTGAGATGCTCTTGATCTTGTTTGAGCAGAACAACTTTCAGTGCTCGGCCTTACTGCACCGAGACCCTTGTGGAGTGAGGAATAGCTGAGCAGTCTAGCATCAACTAATCGCATGGGGAGGGCTCTTCACGCCGGTTTTGATGGACATTAGCCAAGAATAGTAGGTGGTAGAGGTGATGGGTATGGGTGATAATGCAATGGTTATTTTTAGCAGCCTCTCTCATCCGTCCGTCTGTAAGCTCTTCCTCCTGGCCAATCAATACTGCCCTAGGGCAAGGCGCTAGTGCTTGAGGCGTTAAATGTGAGCATTTGTGGAGGCATGGGCGTGTCACATAATCGCTCGCTTTACCTTGCGTGTGTGTGTGTGTGTGTGTAGCTAAAAGTGAGATGTTCAAAGTGTAGATGGACGAGTAGCTGCCATTTCATGGGGAGCAAACCGCGCCTCTGAATGAATTCAGGAAAACCCGATTTCTGATTTATATCTTACGCTATCTCTAGGAGGGCGTTATTCTAGTTTAAGTTTCAAAACGTCTAGAAAATACTGCTTAATCTTGGGTGTGATTTTACTGCTTGAGTAATGTACCA